AATAATAAATAAAATAAAGGCAGAGAAATTGTTAATGTGCTATTGGTGCTAGCAATCTAAATGGACAATGGATATAAAAGGTTCAGACTTTGGGAAATTTAAATGTAGTGATTGTCTCACAAATGGAATAGTTATGGAAACAAATGAACCTATACCAACTTGGCTGTTTTGTCTAACTGGCACCTTGACATTCTCTGCTAATACTGCCTATTGAAGTCTATTATCTAGAATAGAATGTCTTTCCCCTCCTTCACTATCAAACGTCTTGTCTTTCCTCTGGGCCTAATAACCTAGGCCACAACTTTTCAGTGAACCACTCCTTATTTTTTTTCTTAACTATAAGAATTTTAAAAAAAGGGGGGCGGGGGGGGGGACCAAGCAACTATTACAAGCAAAGCGTTGTGCTAGGTATTTTGCATGTCCTCTCCTTTAGTGTCACAATAATCTTATAGCCTAAATATTACCTTATATTGTATATTTAACCTTTTCATATATGTGCTTTTATCTTGTTTTGCACCTTTGATTCTTATTACAAAAGAAATAATAATTTCCCACTCCTATTTCAAGGTGTGCATCTAGAATTGTATAGAAAGTTTATTAAAACAGATTCCTGTTATATTTGCAAGTTCAATGTAAAAGTAAATCTTTTTTGGAAGAAACATGAATATTTTCAAGTAATAAATTGTTTTACTATTTGGAAAACTTGGGAAGAATCAGTTTTTATACACTAAGCTAACGTCATTAAAATATGTTTTGATCATAAAGTAATTATAATCAAATAAGTTCTAGTAGAGTTCTGTAACATTTCAGTAGCGTTAATCATTACACAAATCTGTATTGGGGACTCTGCCATCACATTATTTTAAATGAATATTCCTTTACTGGATTATGATTCCCAGTGCCTGGCACAATGCTTTCTTAAAAACCTGTCAGTTGAATAATAGCAAATCTTTATATTTTTGGTGTGGATTTGATTTTCAGAAATTGTCAGATGTTATTCAGAATTATTGAAGAAGATTATTGAAGCTAAATAAAGTTATTTTGGGCCAAAATATATTTTGGGCAGAGTTCCACATCTCTAAGGATGTTTATATTTATTTGCTTGTTAACACTCCTTTTAGTCAGAAATAGTGCAGTTTTCTCATAATAGAAAATGTGTTTGGATGCAGAAGTGTGCTTTTTATGATTCTTGGGACAAGTAAATGATCCTCTTAATTGTAGGCTACTACCAGAAAAAATTCCATAACACATACACAGAGGTTTGCAAAACATCATGGGAAAAGATTATAACTTTATTTTCACTAATTTTTAACTGAAATTTAGCATTTTCCTTAATATAGACAAATGTCATAGTAATATTGTCAATATCTTTGACTTTTTCACCAACAGAAATTACAGATAATTATATGGCATTACATATATTGCAGATAGCTCAAAATATCACTACCTGCTACTAGATATTAACTTCTTAATGATACTATAAAGTAACCCATGTATTACTATATCTTAATTTAATTTTTTTATTATGAATTTTGTATAATTGGTTTCTTTTAGAATCTTATGTATTTTGCTTTGTACTTTTGAAAACATTGTTTTGAGGAGTCCAAAAGTTTCATGAGATTTGCACAGGCATACATGAATCCCTTTGCATTACACAGGGCCACACAGAACATTTTTCTAGCATTAGAATTTTATTTGAATTTATTATTGATGTATTCAAGTAATTTAAGATGAAAGAATTATTATCTGAATTTCTAAAGTGAAATGAAGTATTTCAGTTCCAGTGAAGAAAAGAAAGAATGTATTATACATACTATCCTCTCTTCCATGCCTCAGGCTCTCCTGGGTTATATGTGTGAAGAGGTGGGAGGCGCGGTAGAGGTTGAAATTTTGGATAGGGTGGCAAAGGATAGACTGCTGGTGAGAATGTAAAATGGTACAATTACTTTGACAGTTCCTTAAAGTTAAATGTTTACCTATACTATGAGTCAGCCATCTTACTCTTAGGTCAAGAGAAATGAAAATATTTGTCCATACGGAGACATGAATTTTCACAACAAATTTTTTCAGAATAACCAAAAAGTGGAAACACATTCCCATCAACAGGTGCATAAATATGCAAAATATGTTATACCCAATATAATTAAATTCTACTCAGTATTAATGAATTACTGGTAAGACAAAACAAAATGGATGAATCTCAATATTATTATACTAAGTAAAAGCAGTGAGGCACAAAAGAGTACATACTGATTCTATTTACATAAATTTATTTTTAAAATGCAAACTAATATATAGTGAAAGAAAGCAGATCCTTGGTTTCTGGAAGCTGGTAGCAGAGGAAGGATATTCTGCAGATGAGCATAGAAATCTGTAGGGGGTGATGGAAATGAAAACATTTCCATCTTGATTGTGGCAGTGATTTAATGGGTTATATACAAGTAAAAAATTGAATTATACTCTAAAAGTTTATTGTACATTAATTATATCTCAATAAAGTTCATTAAAAATTTGGTTAGGGACCAGCCGGCCGAGTGGCTCAGTTGGTTAAGAGTTGGCTCGGGAGCACAAGCTCTGNGTGAAAATTTAAATTGCATATGAGTTCTAAAATTGTTTGAGTTATTAAACTAACTTAGTTATTAAACTAACTTATAGAAGGGAGAAAATTCAAATGATGTCACCAAACATAATCACCTAAGTTTTGGGTTTTTTTTTTTTTTTCTTTTCCATGGACCAGGAACAGGGAGGTAGTAAGGAGATGTTTTCTGATTCATTCTTCAGTATCACTAAAGAATAGTGAATGTAGAACCTGAATTTAGCGATGTTACTATTTAAGCATGCATTGTTGTATTGCTATTCAAAATTAATATCAAATTGTTAAGGCATGATGATGATGATGATGATGATGATGATGATAGGAGCTCTACTGTTTATTGAGGATCACCAAGTAGTATTTATTGTGTTATACGAGAATATTTCATGTGCTTTATTTTCTCCCTGAGAAGTGAGGGAAGTATTGTTTTACAGAAGAGAAAAACAGGTTTACATGAAAGTTAAGTAACTTGCCTGAGACTTGACTACCTTTAGTTCATGGATTCTTAGGATTCAATTTCATGTTGGTTCTGCTGTCTCTGTTACTGTTGGTAGACTCTGAATGTTTGAAAATAATTCCCATGAGCTCACCTCTTGCAGGTTAAAGTGTATCATCTGAGTTCTATTACCATGTATATGCAAGACAAATATGAATTTATCTTTTCTGCCCATGGATTGTCAAAAAGAGCATTTTATTGTATTGGTTAGTGTTTGAGCACTGGATTCTGGGGTCTGCCAAATGTGGGATTGAATCCTGGCACTACTACTTAATAGCTGTGTGACATTGGTAAGTTACTTAAAGGAGGAAAGATAACAGTATGCAATATGTGTGTGCCTTCTCCCTTTCAAAAAAAAAACAGTACAACCAAGCAAGCAAAATAACCCAGTCATGAAAAACCAAGAGTGTTATACTTCAAAGTTCACCTAGGTTCCCATCATTCCAACTCATTCAGTTCACAATTGCTTCCTTCTTGTACCACCTGTCCTTACATTAGTTGGAAAGTACCTGTCTTTTTCTCTTCTGATGTCATCAGATGGACCTTCATTGCCTTTTCTTGCTATTGGGCCTTTATTAGGGTGATTGATGGTGGGAATGATAGCTAACATTTTTTAGTATTAATGTGTGCCAGATAATGGTAATAAATACTTTATATACATTATCTCATTTCACTCTCACACTCATGAGTTTAACATTATTATCCTATTTTTACCTATTAGAAAATTGAGATATAGAGAGGTTAAGTAACTTGTCCAAGGTCAAACTGCTAATTAGTAAAGGAGCCAGCATTCAGATCCAGGTCTGTCTGACCTGAGAACCAGAGCTTTTGGCCAGCAAGCACTTCTGCCATCCTATAAGGATGTATTTATGTGAAGTATATTTTGTTGACTTAAATCATGGGCTTCTTGACTCACAGTAGTCTCATATTTTTTATATGTTCTTCATACCTGTGGTGTTTATTTTAGACCATAAGCTCCTTAAAGGCTCAGATATACAACTTCTTTGTAGGAATCAGCAAAGCATTGGACACATACATTTTCCAGTTGAAATAATTTACAATATTGTAAAATAGATTTTATGGGGGAAGTTTGTGATTTTTGAAGTTTTTTTTCCTTTTAATCTTCATAGATTACTGACAGAAATACAATGTAGGGTTCTATAGTCTCTGTCTAGCTCTGTTGTTTTGTCTTCCTTGGTATTCATTCCAGAATAATTTGTTCACTATAAGAAAAGTTTTAAAAAGATGATCTCATGATTTAAATTTTCTCAGTATATTAGAAATTGCATAATTCGATGTGACATTAGACAGTGGCATTCTTAAATTCGAAGTTTGTAATATTTTTTTATTTTTTATTTTTTTAAACTGAGCCATCCTGCCACCTGTTGGCAGCTCAGCGGCAGCTCAGCTCTGGCCAGGACTCAAACCACTGTTGCTCAGAGCTCACACTNAAAAAAAAAAGTAATTTGAGTACAAAAACAAAAGAATACCGAGTCTCCCACCAACCAGAATGGGTATGTTTGTTCATGTTTTTGCTGTAGAGTATGACACTTCTAAGAATATAATTAGTTTTGCTTTTCATTGTCTGCTTTTTTTCTCCACAGCCTCATGATTTTGATGAATGTCGATTTGATATTAGTGTAAACGATAGTGTTTGGTATCTTCGTGCTCAGGATCCAGATCACAGACAGCAGTGGATAGATGCCATCGAACAGCACAAGGTAGGGTCTCCGGTGTTTACCTACCCATGGAGGACTAGACGAGAGACTGGTGGTAACTCCATTTTCAAAACTCTTGAAATACAATGTGTGTTACTGAAAAGTTGAACATTTTTTGGGTGGTAAAAATTAAAGCAGTACAGAAATAAATTTTTGAAATAATTTTATTTCTAACACTTGAGTTGCATTAAAGGAATTTGCTATGATATTTTAAATTGTTAATTAAAGGAAAATATGTGCTTTTTTTATAAAACAAATCTTGATTTTCATATTTAGGATTTGCTTCATAATAAATGCCGTTTATAATCTAGAATCTAGATGAAAGAAATTTTGAAATAACATTGGATTGTAAAACCCTAATATTTAAAAGCTTCAATGTTAATTTTTGTAGTCATCTGTAACCATTTGAGTAAATTCTTAGTGTAAACATTTGTAAATAATTTTTTGTGAATCTGAAACTACTAAACTTTTAGAAAGGCTTATTTATATTAGTATATAAGCCACCTCCTTGTAATTTAAAGTTAGTCTTTGACTTCTGCAATGAATAAGTGGTAAGTAGACTAAATAAATATACGACATTAATAAATCTGCATTATTAGCTAATTCAGTATATCATGGTAAAACAAGGAACAGGGAAAGTTATAAATTCACCATGCCACGCCTGTGTGACTTCAAGAGAACTTTGCACTTGTTCACATACGTGTCTGTACTTGTTCATTTGGGTTTCACAGAGTTATAGTTGAAACACCTGTTTTAGTTAGCAAGTACAAAACATACACACACACACACACACACACACACACACACGACAAAACAACAACAACAAGAAAAACCAGTCTGGCCTGCAATACCACAGACACATTCTTCTTAATAATTGATGGTGCGTTAGCTTATATTGCCTGATGATTGATTCTAAAGAAAACTGGCTGTGATGCCCATCTTTTTATACCCATTTTAGCTTTAGTATTATATTGGTTTAAAATTTTTTGTTGATCTTACTTATCTTGGTATTATTACTTTGGAAAAGAGTCTAAAAATGGAAAAATCAGAAACAATTTTCTATTATTTAACAGACTGGTGAGCTAGAATTCCAGGATCTCAATACTTTGAAGCCAGGTTGACCTGGATTCAGACACTGCAGCCTCTGCCATGTATAACATATGTGACCCTGGGCATGATAATTCACCTCTTAATGTGTGTAAGGAATACATGAGACAATATATTGTATGAGTAACATTACCAGAGTGGCTGATGTATCTTCCCATTTATGACATAGTGGAAATAGAACAGGCCTTGGAGTCAAACCTAAATTCACTAAATTATACCATGTTGATTCTGGATGGAGAGTTCTTCATTCAGTTAGAGTTGCTAAATGTGTACATAAGGAGAGTGGCCTAGTTTGTGAATTTAATCAGGGCTAGCCCTCTTACTAATGATTAAAGATGTTATTAAGTAGAACTAATTTCTATATTTTTAACTGAAATAACTTTTAAAGTCTTAATCAGTTGATATAGATTACAGTTCTAGTTTTTTTGCATTTAATTAAACATCTTTTATTTTGGTGGTTTTTCTTAGTAAAACCGAACCAGAATTCTTTGCATGCTGCCATTTTGTATTTTCTTTTTGAGTGAAGAAGGATATATGAAACACGTATTTCTTCGGTATCATTGACTTCTTTGCATGTTTGAACAATGGATAGATATTATCTTTGGGTCTCTTTCAGAGCAGTGTGACTTAAGCTGAGATAACAGATTTTTGGTGAATTTGTGTGTGTGTGTGTGTGTGGTTTTATATTTATTTAGTTAGTTTAGTTAGTTAGTTTCAGCTGTACAACACAGTGCAGTAGTTATTCTTTTTACTCCTCAAAGTGACAACCCCCTCCCCAATCCGCCGCCTCACTCTGCCCCCCC